CCTGTCCCAGCACACAGCCCAGAGCAGCTCCATGGGGCGCCTGGGCCGGGCCGCGGGTCCATCCCCCAGCTCAGCTCACAGATCCCTGTGTTCCAACAAGCACAGGCTCCAAAGCAAACCCTGCCCATGGGGACACGGCGTCCATGCCATGCTGGCTCCCTCCAGCTGAGCCTGGGCCTGCAGCAGCCTAGCTTGCTCACCCAGCAAAGATTTCCCCAAAGGATTGGTGGAGCCTGAGCACAGCAGACCTTGCAAAAGCCAGAGGGCCCGTCCTGATGCCTCTGGGACTCTGAAGCCCTGCTGAAAGGAAAGGCACGGGGCATACAAATCTTCAGAGGGTTTATTGTCAGGAGAGAAATTCCCTTATGTGAAAGATGAGTTTCAAAACAGCACTGCTCTGCTCTCAAAATTAAATATGCCTAGATATATACACACGCATACATATTGATAGAATAATGACCATTTTGCTGTGTGATTATAAACCCAAACAAGATAATACCAGTTCCCAAACAATTCTGCCCAACCAGGGCAAGGAGGGCTGACAATTCCTGCCACCCACTGTCCCATGGGAGCCCACCTGGGCACCATGGCAGGAGCGGGACAGGCATTGCTGGCCCTGCCTGTGCCACCCGCCTCTTCTTGCCCCACCACTTGGCAGCAGATGCTGAGACAAGAGGAACTCTCACGGTGACACCACTGTAGGTTTTTCTCTTGCAAAGCAGCTTGCCAGGCTCTGGGGGGCCTGTGCAGGGCTGGGTCATCCTGGTTGCTCCGTGCAAAGGCCGGGTGTCCCATCTGCCCGAAGACCTGTCTGGCCACACAGTCATCTCCCCTCATCCCAGACCTTCCAGCTGGGAGGAACGAGGCAACAGCCATGGGTGAAACCCCTTGGCTTCACAGCAAAGGTTTTGATCAAGGTCCTTTTCGGTATTTTTAGGATTTTTTTAAAATCCAATTCACATCCCCCTGGGGGTTTTGAGATCTCAGAACAAACCCTGATGCTTTACCCTAACCTGGCAATAACAATGCCATGTAGCTCCTGTACATCCCTGTGCCCCATCCGAGGGCTGCAGCCCTCTACCAGGATCCCTTCTTGTGGCCAGTCTGCTTTTCCAAGTCTTCAAGTGAGGCCTCACCTGAGCAAGAGAAGGTGCTGAGGAAACAGCGTGAGCCGGATGGGGTGGGGGGCAAAGAGCTTTTGGCCCTTGAAGAAGCCTAAAATTCTGCCCAGCCCTGTTAACTGTCCCTGCCTTCCCTGAGTGGGCTCTGTCCCCAGTGCCCTGCACCCAAGCCAGCCCAGGCTGCCCCAGAAAGGCTCTTTTTCTCAGTCAGACTCTGCAGGATGGCCACAGTGTCCATCTGGAACTGCCCCAGTGCCTGCACTCGCACGGGCTGCGGATCTCTGTGTGCCCTTTGCCTTCCTCTGGGATGGGGGGTTTGGCTGCAGTCAGAGCCGCAGCCCCACAGTGCCCCCACGGCTCTGCCTTGTTCTGTACAACTGCCTTGTCCCTACAGCCCCCCACCAGCACTGGATCTGAGCCTCAGGGCTCTCCCCACTGTTTCACCCTTTTTTCTAAGCCTCTTTCTTTTTGCCAGGCTGCATCCATAGAATCCATAAACCCCCTAAGAGGCTCTCATCATAAAGGCCTTGTCCTCATAAACCCCATCTACCTCACAATAGGGCAGCCTCAGAAGGTCTCTGTCCTCATAAAGCCCATCCACCCTCTAATTGTGCAGGCCTCATAAAAGCACTGGCCTTACAAAGCCAATACCCCTCACCATGGGGCTCTCATTAAAAAGCCGATGACCTCAGTAATGCCAGAAACCTCCTAAAGGCTCCAGCATCATAAAGCTCCTTCACCTCATAATGGTGCAGGCCCCATAAAGGCACTGTCCTCATAAGGCCCATAAACCTCCTCATGGGGCTGTCATCATAAAGGAGATGTTCTCATAAATGCCATAAACCTCATAAAGGCTCTGTCCTCATAAAACCCGTGCACCTCAGAAGGGACTAACATCATCATAAAGGCTCTGTCCTCATAAACACCATAAATGTCATAAAAGCACTGTCCTCATAAAGCCCCTATACCTCATGATAGAGCTCTGATCCTAAAAGATCCCTCTGCATAAAACCCATGCATGTCATAAAGATGCTGTCTTCAGAAAACCCATACACCTCATAAGAGGCTCTCCTCATAAGGGCCATGTCCTCATAAACCCCATAACCGTTGTTCCCTAAAAGGCTGCAGAGGAAAAAAAGACTCCAGGCCCAACTAGGTAGGAGGTCAGACAAGCAGCAGAGGTTTCCATTAGCCTCCAGGCTCCAGGAATACAAACCCACATCCGTCCCTTCCAACGCAGGGGTTACAGTTTTTATAATGATTTCCGCCCAATCCCCGTCCCGTCCCCGCCCCGGTTCTGCCCCGTTCTGCCCCAGGAACGCCCGTGGGGAATTGAGTCTGGGGGAGTTTGAGCTTTGAGCGGCTGCAACTACAACTCCCGGCGTGCCCCGCGCGGCAAAGGGGGCGGGGCGGGGTCTCTGCCGGCGGGGCGCGCGCACAGCCCCGCGGTGGCTGCCGGGAAAGTAATGGCAGCGACAACGGAATCTGCTCAGCACTGTAAGGCTTGGCGGGGGCTGCGGCGGGGCTGAGGATGCGCTCGGGGGCTGCGGGGAGCGCGGCTGTGGGCGGGAAGGCTGGAGGGCTCGGCAGAGTGGAGAGGAGGGGCTCGGGGGTTTTCGAGGAGGATTAGAGGTCCGTAAGGGGCTTTCGGGGGGTCGCGGAGGGGATTTGGTGTCTTGAGGGCGCTCAGTGGGGAGGGTGAAGGTGTCTGAAGGGGTTTAGAAGGTCCCTGAAAGGGCTGGGAGCCTTGGAACGCTCTGGGAGGTGGGGGCTGTTTAAACGCCATGGCTGCACTGCGCAGGCGCCGGCGGAGTTTCCACGAGGGAACTTCGGCTCCCATAAGAATTCGCGCGGCGCCGCCATTGCCTCTCGTGCCACAGCACCCCCTGCCGGCTGGGCGGACCGACCGCAGGGAAAGCGGTTACGAATGACCCCCCGAACCCCAGAGACCCCCAAAACTCAGCACACAGAGACCCCACAGGGAGGAAGGCTCAGGGGTCCCCAAAGCCAATCAGTGGGGTCCAGGGGTCTCCCAGCCCTCAGGGGAGGAGTCCTGGCAGTGCCACTTAAAATCTTTACAGGGAGATGAACCATATCCGGGTAAGGGGATCGCAGTGCCCCCAGTTAGCCCAGTGACCTCCCAATGGCTCTCAGTATGTCCCAGTAAACCCCCCAATGACCCCCCAGTGTTTCCCAGTGACCTCCCACTGCCCCCCAGTATGGTCTAATGATCCTGCAGTGAGCACTCAGTAACACCCAGTATGGCCCAGTAACCTCCCAGTGTCCCCCCATGTATCCTGGTAATCCACTAGTAATTACCCTGTCCCTCCCAGTGCCCTCCCATAATCCCTCAATAACCCCCAGTCCCTCCCAGTGCCTCCTTGTTCCCCCCAGGGGTCCCAGTATCCCCCAGTAATCACCCAGTGCCCTCAAAGCCCTCCAAGTGTCCCCAACATGTACCCAGATACCCTTGGCCTTTCTGTGAGCATGGGGGGATGGGGCCGTTTTTGGGGTCAGAGGGTCCAGAGAGGCCTTCTGGGGGGAAATGGAGGGTTGGGGACATCAGGGATGGGGTTTGGGCACAGTGAGGAGGAGTTTGGGGACAGTGGAATGGGGGGTTTCAAGGGGGGAATTGGGGCCATGGGGAGGCCCTGGAGACATTGGAGACACCAGGTGGGTCTCGGGGTGCCAAATGGGAAATTGAGGACAGCAGGAGGGTCTTGGGGACACCAGGGGGGTCTCAGGACTCACCTGCTCGTGGTGCTGCCCCTCCTGTCCCCCCCAGGCCCCAATAAGGCCTCCCAAATGTCCCCTAAACCCCATTTTTCCTTTAATCACCTCCCCTCCCAGATCCCTTCCAACCCCCAATGCTCCCAAGACTTCTTTTAACTCCCATAAATTCACCCAGAGGCCCCCAAAACCTCCCTAAATCCCAATCAAACCCCTGCCAAAGAGGGATCACCTGGCACCCTGGGACAGGGACACAGTGGGCTGTGCTGGGGGCACTGGGCTGTACTGGGAGAGCACTGAGAGGGCACTGGGCTGTACTGTGAGGCCCCTCATCCCCAAAGCCCCTCCCCTCGGCATCCATGCCACGGTCTGGGAATCATGGTGGGGTTGGATCAAGGGTTGTTGATCTGGGCGGTCTTATCCAAGCCGACTGATTCTGGGATTCTCTGGTTGCCATTGCCAGGGCAGCACATGCTGGAGGCTCTGTCCACAGGGGATAGATGTGTCTGTGCAGACAGACAGACAAGGGCAGTCTGCAAAGATGTGGGGTTAGAAAAGCAGGAGAAGTTGTGGGGTGGTTGTGGAAGGAGAAAGAAGCCCCCAGACCAGTGCAAGCAGGCCCCCCTGGGCTTGCACATCATCTGCCCTCCCTGCAGGTTGCTGTCCTGGAGAGCAGGCCCTGAGGTGGCCCTGAGAAATGGCCTGGAGGTGAGCCCAGAGGTGGCCCTGAGGTGTCCCTGAGAAGAAGTGGAAGGCAGAGGTGGTGCTGAGGCAGGAGAGCCCCGTGCTGGGGAAGAGGCTGAGCTGGGAGTGCCCAGCAGGGAGAAGGTGCTGTGTCCATGGCCTGTGTGCCAGGTGAGCTAGGGCTTTGCTGCAGAGCTGCGGGCGCTGATTGGAGCGGCTGCAGCTGCTGAGCTGGTGGCACCCAGGAACACAAAGTGTGCCCGGCCACGGAGCCTGCAGGGAGGAGCAGGGACAGGCTCAGGGCCACTGTCAGCCCGGGGCTGGCTGGGCAGACACAGCAGTTTTGGGGTCCCCCTGGGAGCTGCCGA